CCCCAAAACCCCAAAACCCCAAAACCCCAAAACCCCTCAAATCTAAATGTTGCAATGAATTAAGATAGGTAATTTATATTGATTAAAATTTGTTTGTTTTGCTGTTAATTTTTAAGAAAATATTGAAAATAGACATTAATGTTTTGATTAAACTGAAAATTTTAAAGTTATCATAGAAGATAGATTGAAATTAAGTACCGTTAATCATATTATACATATAAAGAAAGCATTAGATGCTCGTTTGTAAAGCTATCGAAACAATGTAAGCTAGAAATTTAAAACAGTGGAGGCAATGTTCTTAGTTTTTGCAGCTTTTGACATATTTACTTAAAGTTTAATTTAATTTAATAGTATAAACCCCTTTAGACAGCACACCAATTAGTTTTAAATTTAAATGGAAATGGCGGGCTCAAGCAACCAACTATCTATTGTCCAAGGTATGAAGCCAGGACAAATCGTCCTTCCAAGTGAATTTATGACTAATTGACATAATTGTTGATTTTATGAAACAGAGACAAAGGAGAAACAACAGTGTATGTTAAGTTTGTAAGCGATAAATATTTTTTTATAATTTTTTTTTCACTCACAACCGTACTCTTGTTGTTACCGTAAGGGCATACTGCCGAGTAGTTCTAACTCTCAAAGCAATCTTTCCTTTGTACGTAGTGATTGCTGTCTTAGAGGCCATCTTCCAGTCTGTCACTCTAACGGCTGTGGTGTCTATTCAATAGACCCTTGCTTCTATTCCAACAACTATGGTACTAGTGCATTTGTTCTTTTTCTACCCATTGACCCTTAATAAGATGTCTTAATTTGCCCTGTTGTAGGATTCTTGTCTTGCATTGTTGCTGTTGTCTTGCCTGTAACTGCTGGTGTCTTCTTATTTTACCCTGTTAGATCTGTTGCATTAATTTGCTTCATTTGGATAGTCTTTCTGGATAGCGCTTACAAAAACTTGAATGAGTTGAGTTTGTATGTGAGCTCAGCTTTGGAGTCTATCAGGTCAACATCCTTAAAGGTGACTCAATAACACTTGTCACCGAACCTACCTACTCTGTAGTAGCCCTACATTGCTTCTCTCTTGTTCTAAAATGATTTAGCTATTACCAATGATATCAGAATCCCATCAATGGATGATCTATAGTCAAGGCCTCACATAGAAGCCACTGTGAGAGCCACCGCAACTCTGAACTTGTCGTTAACTTTCAGACCGAGGGTTCTCAAGATCTGATGGTTTACGTTATCATCAGCCTCTACCAGCTCCAGATCAAGCTTCTTGAGTTCTTCATACAGTGTAGAGGTACAGTGGACAACAACAGGTCCAGTTTAAGAGAGCTTCTTAACTTCAGCAGCCTTTTCAGTAACAGGCATTGCTGGCAACTCAAGGTCAAAATTGAACTTTACTATTCGCTCGAGAACATTCATCAAATAGTAGAAGGTTGGAAATGTCATAGTTTTGAGAACTTATATGTCTACACCTCTAGGATCTTAGTCATCTGGAGTGGCTGTGAAGCAAATACATAAACAATTGGAAACAAAGTCTCTGAATTTGTCAGGATCATTATACATGATAGCATCGCCTTCATCAAATATTGCGAGCTCATTATCTCCGATCGCCACCTTGCAATTCCAATGCAATGTTTGATTTTATCTTTCTCGACAAAATCTAGATAGGTTGAGAATTCATCAGCATCTCTATCGCAGAGCTACTTAAAAGGGTAGATGATATAGACCTTTGAGAATCCAAGCAGCAATGCGAAAACAGCTAGTGTATGCTCAATTATTCCTTTACCTTAGCCAGAAGGTACGCACCACATTTATCTGTGATAAGTCTTGAGCAAACCAATGCAGTACTGAGCTACTGCAAACTGCTTGTAGTTGGGAGGGTTCAACACGACTTTGGTAAAGAACTGGAAGCGGACATCCCCTGCAAGAGACAGATCAGCAGCAAGTTTAGGATCTGGCTTGCCATACTTGGGGATGAACTCATTAAGTGATTTCTATATGGTGTCACCATCAATAACTGTGGAAGTGGCATGCGCAAGTTCAATTTATTCTTTCCATTTGGCGACTGGAATAGTAACCAAAAAATCCTTTATTGAACGGATTGCTGGAGCATACGATTCATCCTGCAACATTGATGATAGAATATTTAATGCACTAAATTTAATCTTCATCTGCTTAGGAGATGCTTGCAGGGTCTCAACCAACAGCTAATAAGATTCAGTAGCCTTTATTATGAAGGATGATATAACTTTAATGTATTCCTCTATATCATCACTAACTTAAGAACAAAGGGAAACCATAAGGATGTTCATGAGGATATTAACAGTAAAAACTAATCCTCGCCCATATGGTTCCAATATGTTGAACACCATACACCTACACGGTTGTCATATCGATTGGCGATCTTGAACTTGAACTCTAATAAAGTCTATGATCTTAAAGTTAATTCCATTTGGCTCAAAGTTACGGTTGCTCTTATCCATGAGGTGTGGCCTAAAGCAAATGAAGCACATAGTAGTCCAAGCATCTATTCACTATCTAGGGACTTTACCCTCTTAAGTACTTCATTGATACAATCAACTACTGGCGCGTTAATATTTTTGGAGAAGAATGCGATCAACGGATTTTTGCTAAACTTATGACAAGTATCTTAAACAACTGAAGCATTTATATGAACGCTTTTAGTATTTGTCTCGATGGCTTTAAGTCGCCTGATTATATCGATTTCGATATGATTTTACTCAAAAATTGCCATTGTTGTAGCATTCTTCTGTCTCTTGGAGCTACTAGACTCTACAGAAGCAACGATACTATCATTATCAGTATCATTGAGTTGCTATAAGATAGTTTATTGGGGAAGTTTATCTAAAATAGCCTGCTTGAGACTTTCTTTTTCAAGTCCTTTAATGGAACCTCTACAAGATTTCCCGTCAAGACAGAAAAAACAAACCGACTTGTCTTTCCCAGCAGAGAATCTATCATAGCATCTATCTTCCTCACACTGTGAGCAGGTGTAGTACTTGATTACTCTGGGTAATTTTGGCTTAGGTCCTATATAGATACAAGTTAAATATATACTAAAAAGCTAGCGGTTACATTTGGAGGCGCACCGGATACATTTTGGAGGCGCACCGGGTATATTTTGGAGGATCACTGGGTGCATTAAATTCTATACTTACCTTGTATACAATTCATGCAGCCTGATCCTGTACAAGCTTTATATGATAGAATAGCATCTCTATGCTTGCGTTCGTTTTGCTTAGACCAACTGTTACCAGTAATTAAAGCACCATTACAGTCTCTAGAGAAACAATGTTAATGGTGAGAGAGATTGAACGATTTCGTTGTGACTTTGGACTTGACCGATCCTTCGTCACCACTACTCATTATCTCATCACTAACCTTTGTAGAAGCCTTTATAGCAGTGGCAGTAGTCTTAGGTTAAGGTTTAGTAATAGGTTTAGCTACTTTCTTAATTGTGGCGGCAACTTTAACGGTAGAGGTGCTAATTTGAACTGGTTTTCCCTCATCGTCCTTCTTAGCGGCAAGCCCAATATCACTGTCTGATGACATAATATCATCCTCAAATGCATTCCTCTTCCATAAAGGCTTGATATTCTTTGCTACAATCTGTTTCTTGTTAACTGCTGCTTTTTATTTCACCGCACTTTTTTCAAGAACCTTTTCCTCTTCGTCATAATCTTCTTCAGTGGTTAACTCTAATCACATCATTTTAGTTCCCCTTTCTGCTCATGAACTAAATGGTGCTTCAGCTAGACTAAAGGAGAACTTCTTATAGAAAGTAACAAGATCGGTGACACATTTGCTCAATATTAATCCTCCCTTGAGTTGCCTGGCTATAATCATTTCCATTAAAGCAAGGGTATATTAACCTAGAGTATGTCTAGCAACTTCATCAATCTATGGTGCTTATGAGTCGCCAATAAGAAGATGAACCCTATCACATGTTAGCCAATGATAAACGCCTTATAGAGTAGAGCACATGCTATCCCATCATCTACCTAGCTGAGTAAAACATCCCTTCTGGATAGGTCATCTTCACTCAACTTGTTGGACATGTTCAAATTAAAGAACTTTAAAACATCTTGAGACTTTAGATCTCCATTGTAAGAAATTGTTTTAAATATTCTGTTGAATTCTTCATTCCGTATGAAATATTTATTTACATCGATTATTCTTGCATCTATATCGGCATCGTTCAGGTTTTAGAAATTTTGTCAAACTCAGCAGAGTACAAGTTCCAGTGGTCAGCTAACATGCTTAAAAATTATTGTAACTATTAAAAATTTACTAAATTAAACAATAGCAACCCCACAATATTGCCTGCCAAGAATTAGAGGTATAGAAAAATCAGCATTCCTAACCATTTGTATCTACATAAAGCGAGATCTTTGACTCCTCGAAATTGAATTTCCTGTACTTTGAGACCCATCTAAAGTATAAAAAAGGATCATTTATGCATAAGATGAGTGATTTGATTAAGTAAGAAATATACAAAAAAACTGCACGTTTTGTGAGTGCTATCATGAACAAGAATTTTTAGTATCTAAAAGCCACTAAATCTTTTTTTTTGATCTGGAAACAGACAAGACATATGCTTAGAAAGGTTTTGAATCTACCTTCGAATTATTTATGTTCAACAATTGTTTAATGGTAGGGTTTGTTGCTTTATGAGCATTAAAGATTAATTTAATAGCAAAGCCCAATTAATTTAATAAAAATAAAATATGCTAGTTAGAGGGCCCAAAAGAATCTCACCAACCTCACTTTTATTCCATAGAACTTACTCTTAAATAGTAAGGACTAGATAAAATTTAGTCATTTTTGATACAACTCTTTGAGATGGTGAGTAAAGCCCAGGAGTTGCCTTGAACCTCAAATAGAAATTAGAAATAGCAACTTAACTTAGTAGAATGAATGTTGATGTATGCGAAAGTGGATTTCCTGTAGCCTCGAAAGGAGAATTTGAAGCAGTTAAAGCAATTGCATAATAAGTAGGACCACTAAAATAAGGGAGAAATAAGCCAATGATAATAACAGGCTTAAGCAGAGCTATTAAAGAAGATATTATTCAATGCTATGAAGCAGTGAAAGAAGCACCTTTACATCGAATTCACACTTTTTTAGCAACTTCTGATATCCATTTGAAACATAAACTTAAGATAACAAGGGATTAATGCTTAGAAAATGTCTATAAAGGCGTGAAATTTGCTTCTTCTCTAGTTGAAGATGTTCAGTTTTCAGCTGAAGATGCAAGCAGATCTGACCCAAACTTTTTAGTTCAAGTATGCTAAGAAGCTATTAAAGCTGGTGCCTCAACTATTAACATATGTGACACGGTAGGTTATACAACTCCGATAGAATATTAATAGCTTATACATTTTCTGATTAATAAAATACCAGATGGAGATTAAGTAGTTTGGAGTACTCACTGTCACAATGACCTGGGCCTTGCTACTGCTAATACACTCGCTGGCATTTAAGGAGGAGCAAGGCAAGTAGAAGTAACAGTAAATGGAATAGGTGAAAGAGCAGGAAACGCAGCTCTTGAAGAAGTAATAATGGCTATTAGGACAAGACCTAAACTGTTTCCTATTAATGTTGATCATTTTATTAGTTCAGAAATTATTGAAGCTAGTAGATTAGTTAGTGCTCAAACTGGAATATTGGTTCAGGCCAATAAAGCAATAGTGGGAGCAAATGCTTTTGCACATGAATCTGGTATTCATTAAGATGGACTTATTAAGCATGCTGGAACGTATGAAATAATGAGCCCTGAAAGTATTGGCCTCCCTAAGAGATTAATTGTAATTGGAAAGCATTCTGGGAAGGCAGGACTTAAATAGTGTGTCAATGACCTTGGTTATAATAACCTAAGCGAAAATCAAATTTAAGAGCTTCTAACTAAACTAAAAATTATTGCAAACGAGAAAAAGGAAATAACTCATGCTGATATTGAAACTCTAATAAATGCAGAGTTTGAGAATATTAAAAGATAATGACTGAATTATTTTTTAATCTAAATGAATTTAACTTTGAAAACAAGTTGGGGTTTTGGGTAAAAGTGGCGAAGTTGAGAATAAGGGAAATTGGAGCAGTATGAGGGAAATGTAATTTTCAATACTCTTTAGAATATCATGTCGTTTAACCTATTAACTTGTTTTGTGGCTCATAAGTCCATTCTTTAAATTTGTTGTTGTTGCTAGAAGTCAATTGCCAAGCCTGAATAAAACACATAATGCGACATATTGACAATACTTTTTATTTTAGCCTGTAAGTAGAGTTTTTTTTATATTAAAATAGAAATATAAGAAAA